CGCCCGCCTGCTTACCCCCTCGAGGCGGGGGCCGGAAGTGCAGCCGGTCCCGCTGCGCGCCGCGGGCGGAGGGACGCACGGAGATGACGCAGGCAGTACCGGAAGCCGCTCCCCTGCGAGATTGCGGACCGTGAGCGGCGGCCGCTGGTCCAGGTCTGTTCTGAATGCGAGGCGGGGCCGGGTCGGGCTGGGGGTTCTCAGGTGCCGGCGCCGTTGTTGACCCGCCGCACCTCCGGCCGTTTATCTTTATTTCCCTGCAGACGCCATGGCTGCGGAGCGGACCCGGCCGCTGCGAGGATCTGGCGGCCCGAGCGCGCCTAGTCGGTGTGAAGCCCGCGCGAGGTCCCGGGCCCCGGGGCGCTCGCTCAGGTCAGTGCCGCGTGGAACACGGCTCCGGGAGCCGGGGACCTGGGAGCGACGAACGGGTTGAAAGGATCTGGAGTTGATGTTAGAGATGGGAAAATTGAACCTTGGAGTTACTGCCTCAGTTTCCTTAGCTGCGAAATGAGTTAACAGTGATGTCCCAGGGCTGCCCTGAGTTTGAGAGATGAAGTGTGGAGAGGTGGTGTATGAAGTACAAGCGCTGTGCTAATGTGAGAGACTGCGCCGTAGTTGTGGGTATGCCATGGAAACAGGTGTGTATGTGGGGTGCCGCTTGAAATAAAGGTAACGATGTTAATGCTAAATAATAATGGTTACTGGCATTCCTTGTGTGTCAGGTACAGTGCTAAACGCTTTCCATACACAATCCTATATATAAAAAAAAACCCACAGCCCTTGTAGGCAATGCCGTTCATGGTTACAAGTGGTTACAACTCAGTTTTACAAGTGAAGAAACTGTTGTTTTTGAGATGGGTGAAGTTGATTTGCTCAGGGTCACCCGGCAGCAAGTGAGAGTTGCAGAGCCCTTACTTTATTCTCTTTGTATTGTTTCAAGGCTTTTAAAAATTCTTAAACTAAAGACGGCTTTTAAATAGATAGTATATTTACATGGTTTTAAATTCAAAAAGGGGCCCCTTACCCCAATTCCTCGGCTCTTCAGTTTTCTATGGAGGCAACCGGTGTTACCAGGTTCTTGAATATTGAAAAGATATTCTGTGTATATGAAAGCCTCTGCAGTGTTTAACTGCTGATTATGCCTGATAAGAGAGGAAGAGGAAGCCGCCTCACTCAAAACAAATGTCTTGCTTTTGTTCCTGACCGGGCCAGGTTCTGGTGGAGGAGAGGAAAATGCATTTACTGCATTTTACCCAGAATGTCATCTCTAATATGACCTAGAGGTAGAGGTTTAGTTTTGTTTTGGGCGGGTGGGAACTGGGCACAGTGTTGGGCCTGCTGCTTCCTGTGGGGTCCTAGGAAAGTCAGTGTACTTCTTGGGCCATAAGTTTCCCCGTTTATTAGTTAAGGGCAGTAGTACGGATACCTTCCACAGGGTTGTGAAAATCAAATGAGGTATTAATGTCTGTGAGTACACGTGGTGAAGGATAGCTTCCATTTTACAGATGACAAAATTGAAGCTTAGAGTTAGTTAAACATCCCCATGATCACATAGGAAGCGGCAGAATCAGAGTAAAAGATTTGACTGACGAGAGCATTTCATTCACCTCATTCTTTCTTTGTATCCAGTTGTCTTTGACTGTTCCCAGTAACGGGAGGCTCTCCACTCTGGAGGCAGCTGTTCCATGATTAAAAAGCTCTGATGATTTTAAAGCTCCTCCTCATTTTGACTTGAAATCCCACTTCCTGAAGTTTTTCCCCTTGGGGCCTCATGCTGTCAGTACATAATCTGTATTCCTAGAGGCTCTCTAAAAGAGTTCAGTGTAGACCTGTGGCCTTAAGAAAGTTACCTCTAAAGTTAGTTGAGTTTTTAGAAAAGTAAAAACTGATGGGGTTTTGTTTTTGTTTTCATGATGCAGACACTGTTTAATAATAAATAGAATGCCAATCAGTGTACAAGTATAGGGGATACCAAACGAAAACATGTTGTCTAGGGAAACATGACAGAATGGTGTTTTATAATCATGTGTTCTGCTGAGTTAATGGGTCTGCTTTATTAAAAATGCCTTTTTCACGACAATCAGAGATGAAGAACTGGAAAACAGCCACCCTTAAGGGGTTCCGTAGCTTAAAGGGCAATCTCTAATATAAGAGTTGGAAAAAAATTATTAGGAGTTAGGAGAATATATAAATTTCAGAAATGGCTGTTTTTTTTTCTTACCGTGCTCACTGGAAAGCTTGTTTCATAATCTTCTGTGGTGTCATGGGCACATGGCATGCTGTAGGATGTCTCTTAGTTATTTGTGAATGATGGAAACCTGATAATGTTTTCATGGATATTACAAATTTGTCTAACAATTCAGCTTACATAAATGTAAGCATTTTTATGATGGATGTGTGGCATATTTTGTGTGTGTGTGAAGGTGTAGACATGTAGGTGTTAGAGGAAACCCTATTCCCCTTTTTTGCTGTAAAATACAATTCTTGGGCACACGTTTTGGGTGTATGTTTTTTTTTTTAAATTCTCACCCAAGTGAGTGGAAGGGAGGGATGGAGGGGGAAGGAGAGAGAGAAACATTGATGTGAAAGAGAGACATCAATTGGTTGCCTACCACACTAGCTCCAACATGGGGCTGCGGATTGAACCTGCACCAAAGTACTTGCCCTTGACCAGGAATCGAACCCATGAACCTTTTGGTGTGTGGGCTGAAGCTCTGATCGCTGAGCCACACCATCCAGGGCTGGTGTATGTTTTTAACTGGCCGGTATTATCAGCTGTTGTGACCTTGTGTGAATGTTCACAGAAAACCATTGTTTTTGTCTTGTTGTGGATGATATTTTTAAAGTAAATATTTTTTTAGAAATGTTACAGATAGAAGATTGTTAGGATTGAGAAGAGGCTTGCTATCTTGTGTTAAGTTGATAAAACTTTTGGTGAACTGATTATTTTTTGATAGCCAAGTAAATCCTTAAATTAATAAATCCTATGTAGCCCAAACCCTGAGACTTCACAGTTCTAAAAAAACAAAACTAGATGATATAATTAGAAAAGTTTGGTTGCTTCTACTGCTTTTTGCCCAATGACATTCTTCCAAATTTGATATTGGGGAAATTAATAAAAATGGTTTTACTCGCCTTACATTAACAAAGTTGGAAGATAAGATACGGCTTTTTGTGTAAACCTGATCTAGGTGACATATATAGAAAGGAATTTATTTTCCTCTTCCACATTAATTTGGACATAAATTTTAAAAGTTTGACAGTCTGGTGGGAAATCGATCAGATTAGAAGGAAAGTTCTTTTCTTTTTTTTAATCATGGAAATGTTTAAACATAAAAATAAAGAGAGTAATAAACCTTCATCACCCAGCGCTAACATCTGACAATGTACGGACAATCTTGGGAAAGATGGTTTTTATTGATTTGCTTTATTTTTGTTCTCTTTTCATTAGTTTAGTCCTCATTGTTAAGAGTGATTCGACACCTTGACACACACTAATGCTGGATACTTGTAAATTTTTTTGTTCCATTTAGCCCTGGAGTAATTTGTCATTATCCTACAGGGGTAGGTGGTATAATCAGACTGGCACAGTGCCCTGAGATCTTATCACCAGGTTGTGATGCTCCTAGTTGTAGCTGACTTCGAAGAGAGCAGCTTGGTGTGGTCAGAAAATTCCTGATCTTGAGAGCACTGCATCCAGTCTGTGCTGCTGCTCTTTTGGCTCTGTTGACTGTAGGCAAATCACTTACCGTCTCTGACCTGTAACTTCCTTATCTGCAAAGTAGAGATGATGATACCTGGTGTTTGGTGTTTTGTAAGCATCAGGAATACTAATTTGACTTATTGTTCAGGCTTCTAGGACCCACATGACTCAGGGGCACATGGTTAAGAATTGTCACCAGCTCATCTGAGGCTTATAAAAAAAGACTACTACATAAGTCAAATAAGGCCTTTGGTAATTCATGTTCTAACAGGCAGTGCCATAAAGGAAGTGGAAGAACCAGAATACCTGAGCCACATAACTTATTAAATCTGCTTATTTTTCTCTCCCAAACCTTTATTCCTGAACATCTATTGCAAAAGCCAGTAATCAGTTCTATGATTTTGGTAACAAGTCAGGTTTTGCCTACCTAGCATGATAACTAATGTCTCAGGTTACTGCTCTAGACTTGCTTTCTGGTTGTCACATCATAGTGCTTATTTTTGTGATTTTAATGCCTAAATAGAATATGTTAAGGAAACTGTATTATGATGGTTTTGATGAAGGAGGGGTATATTTTGTAGAATACATTGTTTCATAATGAATGAATGCTTTGTAAATCTTTGTGAAAATGCATGTAGCATGTGCTAGACGTCAAAAGGAGCAAGTCACACACAGCAACATAAGCTTCATTGACTTATGTTTCAGAGATCATGATTTGTTAAAGAATGTTTTCTCAAATGTATTTTCTTTTGTGTGCATGGAAAAATATCAGATACAGTGTATTAACTGTAAATTTGTTATGTAGTAACTAAGCATAAAGTTGTAATGCCAGATTTTTTACACTAATTTTTAATACTTCATTTGTTAGCAGTATTGCTTGGACGGTCTTTTTGAGCAGAACTAATACAATATTTTGATGTGCCACAGGTAAATTTTTCCATAACCTTATGGAGAGAAAGGACTTTGAGACATGGCTTGATAACATTTCTGTTACATTTCTTTCTCTGACGGACTTGCAGAAAAATGAAACTCTGGATCACCTGATTAGTCTGAGTGGGGCAGTCCAGCTCAGGCATCTCTCCAATAACCTGGAGACTCTCCTCAAGCGGGACTTCCTCAAACTCCTACCCTTGGAGCTCAGTTTTTATTTGTTAAAATGGCTCGATCCTCAGACTTTACTCACATGCTGCCTCGTCTCTAAACAGTGGAATAAGGTGATAAGTGCCTGTACAGAGGTGTGGCAGACTGCGTGTAAAAATTTGGGCTGGCAGATAGATGATTCTGTTCAGGACGCTTTGCACTGGAAGAAGGTTTATTTGAAGGCTATTTTGAGAATGAAGCAACTGGAGGACCATGAAGCCTTTGAAACCTCATCATTAATTGGGCACAGTGCCAGAGTGTATGCACTTTACTACAAAGATGGACTTCTCTGTACAGGTAAGAGACCGTGGAACTGTTCTTTTTTTTTTTCTTTCCTATCAGCAGTGATTTTGGGGGGGAAACCAGTGGAAAAATTGAGACTAGTCCAAGCAAGTAGATCATCTTGGAGGAATTACACAATCTCTCTGTGTTTGTTTCCTTCTTGTCTATATTGTATGGAAAGGGAGGTATTTCTTTCTTGTTCTAAATTCCTGTGGTGCTAAGAAGAGTTAGAAGTTAAGAGTTTGGGCATGGGAACATAGACAGTTGATACTTTAAAACTAGGCAATTAAGTAACTTTATATAACAAATATAATCATTAAAATTTAGAATTATGTATATCTTCCAGTTATAATGGGTATGTATTTCTACATATGATTATAATTGGTGCTCACATTTTAGGCAATACATTTTGACAGACATTGTAAATAATTCTTAGGCAGTATTTCAGAAGGCTCTCAGCAGTTCTTATCAATGATCCCAAAGCCTATTCTCTTTCATTGTATATAATATATAGGGATACTCTGTGTTCTTTCTTCATCCAAGATAATTTCTAATAAACATTTGAGTACTACTAAACTATGTAGTTGCCTTTTTTAATAGTATATATTGTTCTTTTGTGTAAATATATCATTATTTAGCCATTCCCATATGTACTAATAAGTGCATATTCAGGTTATTTATTTTTATGAATATTTTTGTTTGCATTGTATTTTTTTCCTTGAATTATTTATTTGGGGCAGAAGCCTCAGAGTAGAATCACCAGATCCAGAAATATGAATGATTTTATAGCTCTTTTTAGTGTCTTTTCCAGGTAGATTGTATTGATACCATGCCTACAGCAAAGTCGTAAAGCTGCTTCTCTCTCAGAGTCCTACCAGACTCAATTTCAGTATTTTTAATAGTTAAGAGACATATTATTTCTCATGATTGTTTTAAAATTTTATTTCTTATTCATTGAGGTTATACATTTTTTCATGTGGTGGTATGTTATCTAAAATACTAGACACTCTGTTTTATAACATGAACATTAAATTTAAGGCACTTCCTGGTTTTGTTTGTCATACTAAAGTTACTCCATGCTTACATTATTTTTCTGTAAGCCTGATTATTGGCACATCATCTGTTCTTCTCTACTTTGATATACTTTCCTAGTTGTGGTGATGGCTTTTTCATGTCCTTTTTGCCTTATAATCAATGTCAGGTATTTTAAAATATTTTTAAAAGATTGAGATGTATTAACTTTGAGCTTGGCACTCATTTACACTTACGTAAATACTGGCAGTTGACTCATTTTCAGAACCACCTCTAGTTTCAAAAGAAAAAATTATCAAACTTTACTTTTGAAATATAATAAAACCTCAGTTACTTAGAGCAGAAATCCCCATTTAGGGACATGTTCACTCAATTATTTAACTACCCAGAAAGTTAAAATAGCTACAATAACTGCATTTTAAGGTTATTCTCTAGGTGGGTCTCTATGTCCTGTTATTTTTATTCTGATTAAATTATTCAGGTTTTCATATTGAAAGTCATGCTATGTCTGTTGAAAGTGATCCAAAGCATTAGTTTAATTTTTCTAATATAGCGTCCCTGGGACTGTTACTAGTGAGAGAAGTATTTGTTACAGAATTACATAGGCATACCTTGTTTTATTGAGTTTCACTTTATTGTACTTTGCAGATATTGCCCCCCCCCCTTTTTTTTTTAAACAAATTGAAGGTAAGACCCTCTGCCAGCAAAAAGATTATGACTCGCTGAAGGCTCACATGATGGTTAGCATATTTTAGCAATAAAGTATTTTTTAAGTAAGGTATGTACATTTTTTTTTTTAGATACAATGCTGTTGCACACTTAATAGACTACAGTATAGTGTAAACATAACTTTTATACGCATTGGGAAACCAAAAAATTTGTGTGACTCTCTTTATTGCGGTGGTCTGGAACTGAACCTGCAATATCTCTGAGGTATAAGTGTTTGTGTCATCTTGTCACTTATGAGCTTGTCTTTTTCACTGTTGTTGAATTGAGAAATTCTGAATTTGGAAGCAAGTTGATAGTGGCTCTCAGATTAGCCCTTCGAACAGCAATAAAATAGTATTGCCAAAAAGATTGATGGCTAATGCTAAAATGAACATGGTATAGATTCAATGAGGTAGTTATTCTGCTAATTTCTGAACTGGTAAGAAGGGAACCTGTTGTACTTTGTGCTGTTCAGTAGTTATATATTTATAAAATGCCCTCTGTGTGAAAGACAATGTGAAGGCATACATAGATAAATTGGAGCAGAGAACATACACACTGATACACACCGGGATCAGGAAGGTAACCTGTTTAGTAAAAGTCTCCATGTAGACTGTGGCTAATCAGAGAACACCTGCCCTTCTAGAGAGGGTGGCTGCTGCTCCACTATACTGAATTATTGCCATGTGGGATTCAGGCTCAGAGTTGTCAGATCTGACTTGTATGAGAAGCCCCACATCTAGATTTTTATGAAACACCCTGATTTTTAAAGCTCTTATTTTTAAGTATTATTCATATTTGATAAATATTGTGGTTGGGTCATATTCAACCTGCAGGCTGCCATATTGTGGTGCCTGGCTTGTAGTCAAATAAGAAAAACAAAAGCTATAAAAGGGGTATGATCAAATGATAGAGTTGAAATGTGTAAGAAGAAAATTCATGTAGTTGTTCAGAAGGAGTGATTTCTCCCACTTGAGAAAATTGAGCAGTGTGTTTATGTTGAGTCTTGAAGAATGGGTAGACTTTAGACAGATGAGATTCAAAGTAGACGCTTCCCAATAGGAAGATCAGTATTAGCGAACACATGACAGGGCTGAGCTTGGAGCACGTAGGAAGAAAATAAAGAATTAATTTTAGCTAGACTCTTAGGATGTAAGTAGGGACTCTAAGTGACACTTAGAATATAATGAAATTGACTTGGGCTGTGTTGTAAAAGCCTCGCATGCTGGGAACATGAGTGAGTTTGGACAGTTTTCTATAATCAGAAAGAAAAAAAACTATGAAAAAAAATTTTAAATGATTTTTTAAAAATATGTTTTTATTGATTTTAGAGAGGACGGGAGAGGGGGCGAGAAAAAGAAACGTCAATATGAGAAACATTGGTTGCCTCCTGCACGCACCCTGGCCGGGTTCAAACCCACAACCCAGGCATGTGCCCATACCATGAATAAAACTGGCAACCATTCGGTGCATGGAATGATGCTTAGCCAACTGAGCCACACCAGCCAGGGCTATGAAAGATTTTTGAGCAGAAAAAGGGCCAGGATCAGAGTTTTCTGCTTCAAGTAGACCAGTGTTTCTTATTTCTGTCAGACCCAGGTTCTCTTTTTATAACATATTTTACAATATTCTCATCTTAAAGTAGTAAAATTCATAGAAGTAATTTGTCTACATATACACATATTTTAAAAAAACATAATGCCTAAACTCTGTTTCAGAGGAAGAATAAGAAGATTGCAATTTAAAATAATACACATCAAACGTAGTGCTCAACCATAGCTATGCTAGAAAATAGGAATGTAATCAGATGTTTGCACCTGTATGTATTGACTATGAACGTGATAATTATAAGTGCAGTATATTGTATTTGTGTCACAACCATCAGTGGTGTGATTTCTCAGATGGTGAAAAACTCTTAGCATAAGTTCCCAACAAAGCAAAGTATATTTTTCCTCAATTGACCTGGTAGTTACACTCTTGGAAAATTCAGAATAAACTGCAAATAATGCTTTGTAAAATAGGCTCTAGGCTTAGATAACTAAGGATAAACTTTATACTTAGGGATATCTGGCCAAACTTTAAGAATGTCATGCAGACTACAAGATAATTGTTTTTGTGCACTGTCCCAGTTATTGCAGTATGTCTGGCATTCCTGGCCTCTGCCCTGTAGATGCCAATAATAGCCCCCCTACCACCTAAATCATTATGACAATTGAGGCCACCCCCAAGAATTTCTAAAATGTTCTCGTAGGAGATGCTACTACTTCTATTGACTCTCTAATGTAGAGAAAACTAGAGGTTCCAAATTAAAGCAGTTTCGATGATGGTAAATGGGCCTAGATTTAGGACAGTAAGGGTAGAGAGATTTTTAAAAGGAGCAGTTGAATGAAAGAGCAGCCACTGAAATTTAATTGACAGGATTTGGCAACAAATTGGATATGTGGGAAGGAAAGGGGAGATTTAAAAAATAGCTGAGGTTTCTAGGTTTGTGTATATCTGGGAAGATAGCAGTACTAGTAACAAGAATGGAAAAGGGCCCTGGCTGGTGTGGCTCAGTGGTAGTGTTGGCCTGTGGACCAAATGGTCCTGGGTTCGATTCCCGGTCAAGGGCAGCTGCCTGGGTTGCAGGTCCATTCCTGGCCCTGGTTGGGGCATGTGTGTGAGGCAGCCAATTGTATCTCACATGGATGTTTCTCTCCCTCTCCCCCTGGCCCCTTCCACACTCTAAAAATCAACGGAAAAAATACCTTCGGGTGAGGATTAAGAGAGAGAGAGAAAAAAAAAAAGGAAAATGAAGGAATAAACTTGAGAGGGTAGATGTAGTTCAGTTTGGGATGAACTTGATTCAGTTGGGTGTGTAAATGGAGTCCCACAAATATCCGGAAATGCAGTATCAGAGCTTTGGAGAGCGCTCAGAGCTAAAGAGAAAGATTTAGGAGTTAGTCACATCACAGCTTTGGCTATAACAGTGAAAGTTTAAAAGGAGATGAAGAGAGGAAGAAGAGTAGAGCCTAGGGTGGGTCCTTGAAGAGTGTACACAGAGAAGGAGGAGAGGTAAAGAATTAAGAGAGTTTTGGAAATTGCCTGTCTTAAAGAGGGCATCGCTAAATGTTTATTTAGTTGTTCTGCAGCCTCAGAGGCGGCTGAGAGCTGAGATCTGATTCTACAAGTTAAATATTTAAACTTAGCTTGATACTGTAGTTTACTTCATTTGTGTTCAGCTCATTTTTCTACTTACATTGTTACATAACTATCTCTGTAATATTTTTTATATCAAAGTATTGTTTTCATCCTATTTTCTGAGTTGAGAGGACTTTTTTTTTCCTTTCATCTAATGAAACATAGTCTCTATTTACTTAGTCCCCTTTTGTTTCTAGGCTGCATCTTTGATGACCTCTTTGAAAACATGTTGGGTTAGTCAGTGTAACAAATGGGAATCCATGGGGAAGGTTGACATAGAGCCAAAAAGGAGCAGAGAATAATGGCTCCTAAAGGCTTAGCAATTAAGAGGAGACTTGTAGCCCTGGCCCGTGATTTTCAGTGGTTAGAGTGTCTGCCCCCCTGCACCAGGGATCTTAGTTTGATTCCAGGTCAAGGGCATGTACCTGGGCTGCAGGTTCGGTCCCCAACCCAGGAGGCAACCAGTTGATGAGTCTCTCTCACATGGATGTTTCTCTCTCTACCTCCCTCTCCCCCTGCCTCCCTCCCTTCCAGTCTCTAAAAATCAATGGAAAAAATATCCTCGGGTGGGGATTTTAAAGAGTTAAAAAAAAAAAAGGGTACAGTTGTACCACTGGAGCCTTTCTGCCTCCAGTTTTGCCCACTTCAAACCATTTTCTGTGTTGCAGCCATAATGATCTTTCAGAAATGCGAATAAGGTCACAGTTAGATATCCTGACCCAGTTCTCTAGCCAGACCTTGCCACTATTCTCAGTCATACTGAACTGCTTTTATAGTCGGTGTCCATGTTTTAGACAGTGCATTTTGACAAGCATTGTAAATAATTCCTAGGAAGTTTTCAGAATGGTTCCAAGTAGTTCTTTATGAATTGACCCCAGTCTCTAGTCGCATATATATGTATGTAATATATAGAGATATTTAATAGGTACTTTAATAGGTGTATACCAGGGGTTGGCAAACTATAAGCTGCAGGGCCATACCCAGCAGAGTAGAGTAATTCCAAAAGAGACTATATGGCTCAAAAAGCCTAAAACATTTACTCTCTGGTCTTTTACTGAAAAAGTTTTACTGACCTTTGGCTTATACTATTCCTTTGGTGGGGTAACCTTTTCATACTTTAGATTCCAACTAGTTAAAACTTGAAAGTTTTTTTAAGTCATGAAATCCTTTCTTCAAACAATCCTTTGCCAATGCCCAGCTTAAAAACAAGTAAGAATATAGTTGAGGAGCCAAACATGCCATCCCCTGAGGTATATTTGTGGAACACCTAGATGTTGAGGAGCACAGTTTAAACTCCGTGAAGCTTTATCTGAGGCATTTTCTCCTTTTATCTCCTCTTTATATTTGCCAGGGGTTTTGTACTGCCCACCACTTACTGTACTAAACTATTGCTTGTTTAGCCTTTTTGTCTTCCCAAGTAGACTAAATGCCATGAGAGCAGGAACCAGCCCTGCCTGACATAGAAGTTCTGTAAATACAGATTGAATGAATGTGGCCCTAGTTGAACATTGGGAATAAATCAGAACCAAGGTCAGATGGATCCTAAAATGATTTCTTTTTCTGCCTTAGCTCCCTAGGAATATAGTCACAAAATGCCCAAACTTAGATTATTTAGACCTGCGCTCTCCAGTAATACAGTAGCCACTAGCCACTTAGGCTTTGAGCACTTGATATGTGGCTAGTCCAAACTGAGATGTGAAATGTGAAACACTCATTATTGGACTTCAACAGCTTAACATATAAAATACTTTATTAATAAGTTTTATATTGATTACATGTTGAAATGATAATTTGATATTGTTAAACTATATTAAATTTTTATTTTTTACTTTTTCAAGTAAATAGAAAAATTTAAATTACTAATGTGACTTGCATTATATTTCAATTGAACAGCATTATTCTAGAACATTGGTTATCAAAATGTTGCTTATGCATTAGAGTCACTTGGCAAGCTTTTAAGATTATTGGACCCCACCTCAGATATTCTAATTTAGAATACCTGAGCGTAGCTGTGTCCTTGTCATAGTAATGATATTTGTGTCTTCAAAATGTCCTTCAGTTCTTACTACTTTTCTGTTCTAAAGGTAAACTGTGAGATATAAATTAATCATTAGGATTTTAAAGGTAGTTAAAGCAAAGTCCTGAATTGTCACCATGATCAGTATAATATTTTCATCAGAGGCAGAAATGAAACCTACTTTTTTCTACAGAATCTTAAGATGTTTTATACACTCATTGTTGAGTTGTGAATGTCTGGGAATAATTTATCCTTGGTTATCATAGAGGTTCCTTTACACATTTCAAGATGGCCCAAGAAATTAGCAGTTAACCTTTTCAGAAGTTAACCCATGATCTGAGGCTCCTCTTTGACTAGCCCTAGGGGAGAATATGTTCCAGTAACAGCTTTACTATTCAGCATTATTTGTTCAGGGTTGTTGGGTAATGGACAAACGTGCAAGTGTATACATGCAATCATAGGTAATACCCATCATTTCAAGCTCAAATCAGAGCTCATAATGGTGAAAGATTTATGACATTTTATAAGTGGAAGCACCAAGGGATGCTTTAGTCTAACCCTTCTCTCTTATCTGGAAAGTTAAGGGAAAAGGGCTAACCCAGAAAGCTTGCATTCAGCCCTCATGCTGTTGACACCATTTTGATGACTCTGAGCAAGTCGAGTTACCCTCTCTCTGCTTTGGTTTTCTCTGCTATAAAGTGGGAGTGCTGCCCGGCCGGGCGTGGCTCAGTGGTTGAGCGTCGACCTAGGATCCAGGTGATCCGGGTTTGATTCCCGGTCAGGGCACATGCCTGGGTTGAGGGCTGTAGCCGATCAATGACTCTCATCATTGATGTTTCTATCTCTCTATCCCTCTCCTTTCCTCTCTCTGAAATCAATAAAGATACATTAAAAAAAAAAGTGGGAGTGCTGGAGGAGGTGACCACTGAGGTTATTCTTTAAAAATACCGTGGTTTGCCCTGGTCTGTGTGGCTCAGTTGGTTGAGCATTGTCCCATGCACCGAGAGGTCGAGGATTCGATTCCTGGTCAGGGCACATGTCCAGATTGTAGGCTTAATCCCCAGTATGGGGTATGCAGGAGGCAGCCAGTCGATATTTCTCTCTCATCAATGTTTCTTTCTCTCCCTCTCCCTTCTTCTCTCTCTCTCAAATCAATAAAAACATTAAAAAAAAAAAAAAAAGAATACCATGGTTTGGGGATTGATTTTCCTTCTTCAGTGTTTGTTTTCTTACTAATCTCTCTTTTTCTCTTGAAGGGTCAGATGACTTGTCTGCAAAACTATGGGATGTGAGCACAGGGCAATGTGTTTATGGCATCCAGACCCATACTTGTGCAGCGGTGAAGTTTGATGAACAGAAGCTTGTCACAGGCTCCTTTGACAACACTGTGGCCTGCTGGGAATGGAGTTCCGGAGCCAGGACCCAGCACTTTCGGGGGCACACAGGGGCGGGTGGGTTGCCCTTTTCCAAGGGTTTCTACAGTTACTTTAACCTCATTTCTTAAAGCCAGGAGTCAAGCATGTGATCCCTTTTTTGTTTTGTTTTTAAATTTAACTTGGCTTTCTCCAACCTTTCTTTCTCAGTCGTGACTGTTAATCCCTTTATTCAAGTTATTCTTATTTGGTATCTTTCCTTGGCTCATTTAAAGCTCTCTTCTGTATACTCTTATGCTGGGAGGGGGTTCTTTTCTCCTATTTCATTTATATCCTGTTGAACAGTCAGTCCCCTTTGCTTTTATTAGATTCCTTACCTCCAAGTTGAATAAGTCCTACACTTGTGAGTTCAGTCTACTTTATTTGTAGAAAAAGGGCTAAAGTCCTTTGGAGTAATAGTTGTACCCAGTTTGTGTGATCCACACATATTACATTGAATTGGAGCTTGGTTGACAATAACAAGCCACTGTCTGGAGATAAGATGAAAGAAACAGATACCTGAATATTTCCTAGTAATTGTACAGCAGCCTTAGTTAGCAAAAGCTGGTCATTTGATTATAGCCTGGAGACCTGAGCTGCTCTCTCTGTGCATTGTACTTTGGAATTTTGTGCAGAAATCATGTTGAGCTGTTTTCCAGCCTCTTTTGCAGCAGCTCCCTTTCTCCTTTCCCCCACATGCACATTGCATTCACCCCTGAAAGTCACAGACTGTGCTCTTAAGCATTACATTTTATGAGCAGCCTTCCTGGACTCTCTAACAAGTTGAGTCTCTTTGCTCTAAGTTTCCCAATAACCTGTATTTTTGTCATGAACATTCATTATACAAGTAAGTATGATAATCTTCATTTCCCTACCGGGTGGTAAGCTCCAAAAAGATAGGGATCCTGCCTGTCTTCTTCACCCATAGGTCCCAAGTTCCTTGCACCATACCTGGTACTCAGTAATTCTTTGAAGTAAACCAAAAGCAATTTTTTCCCCATTTTGTCATCCTATACATTTTTCCTTAGTCTGCTATCTTCTACCACTTGTTTATTGTAGAAATTAGTAATTGAAGGTATATGATTTACTGTGGGAGTTCTATATTAAACTGAGTGTACTATTCCACAGTGTCAAGATATATTGACTACCAAGTGATTTTATACCTGATCAACTTTGAGAGCCCTACTCTAAAAAATTTCCTCCTTGCTGTTCCCTGGACATTGCTGTGGCTTTTCCTAACTCCATGCCTTTGCTGTTCCCTCTACCTGCAATACTCTCTTTTTTTTCTTGATAAACTCTACTCATCCTTCAGGGCTCATCTCCAATATTGCCTCTTCCCTGAAATCCTCCCTGATACCCCTGGGCAGAGTTAGTCATTCTCCTTGGTGTTCCCCTAGCAAGAGGTAAACATTTTTTTGTTTTTTTGAACTCTCTCCTCCACTGCTCATGCAGACTGAGTTCCTTAAAGAAAAAACAGATGTTTTTATCTCTGGGTCTCCATTGTTCCTGTAGAGTAGTGGTGGGCAACCTTTTTTTCTGCCAAGGGCGATTTGGATATTTATAATGTCATTTGGGGGCTGTACAAGATTATCACCTTAAAAATTAGCCTGCTCTATTTGGTCAAACAGTTAATTCCTAATGTGATGGCTGGAACTGCTTCTCTTTGGTGAGGCCTTAGCAGGGCCAGACCAAATGATACGGCCCACTAGACGGACGTTCCCCACCTCTGCTTTAGAGTTTGGCAGACATTGAAAATAAATATTTGAGTGCTTGTTATATATTCAGTCACTGTTTTTGGTGCTGGAGGTATAGCTGTGAAGAAATACAGACAGTTTTGAGAGAATGGCTTAGTCTGACCTTTGAGGTCCTTGTTTGTGTTTTGTTTTTTCTCTTTACACTGGCTTTTCTTGAGTATGGGTATTGTTTTGCAGCTTATATTCTTGATGTTTTGTGTCACTGCAATAAGTAATGTAAATATGACTAGGGCTACCTGTGTTCTGTTTTCCTTGCATAAGCTAGATAAGTTTTATGTAGTATCAGGCAGATAGTCCTGGGAAGAAATGCCATTATCTCCACACTGGTTTTGCCTCTCACTTTGAAGCTAATATAGGCATAAAGAGTCGTATTAGTCCAGGGACTTTTCAGTCCTATAATAATAAACAGTAATTGCCGGGCAGGGCATGGCTCAGTGGTTGAGCATCAACCCAGGATCCAGGAGATTGCGGTTCGATTTCCAATCAGGGCACATGCCCACGTTGCAGGCTCCATCCCTAGTAGGGGGCATGCAGGAGGCAGCTGATCAGTGATGACTCTCTCATTGATGTTTTGATTCTCTCTTTCCCTCTCCCTTTGTCTCTCTGAAATCAATAAAGATATATTTTAAAATAATAATAATAATAAACAATAATAAGAATTTTGAAATTTTTTTTTTTTTTTTTACCATAAAGCTGCTGATTGCGTAGTACTATCTTATAGCTCTGGTTGAGAAATTATAAAATTGGGCAGCTAGGGAAAATAAAGGCTATTGAGCTCTATTATGAAAGACTCAGACAGGCATGTTTTAACTTTGTGTCTGTTGTGTATATTAGTGTTTAGTGTCGACTACAATGATGAACTGGATATCTTGGTGAGTGGCTCTGCAGACTTCACTGTGAAAGTATGGGCTCTATCTGCTGGGACATGCCTGAACACTCTCACCGGGCACACGGAATGGGTTACCAAGGTAGGAAGACTTATAAAAGAAATCTCTTTAATGTCAGGCTTTGTGGACTTAGGGTAGAGGATGATACATGCTGCCTTAGTGGTGGGTGAGCCATAAGATGGAATAGATGCAACCACAAAGCATGGTGGTGCACAGCAGTGACCAGCACATAAAAGACTTGCTGTAAATATGAGTGACTTACGGGCATGGAAAGTTGCCCACAATATAGTAGGTGGGTACAGGGAGCAAATAAAACAGGACACATACAAAAAAACTATGTAGAGTATGATACCAGTTTCTGAATGTGTTTATGCACCAAAATGTTGACGATGATTATTGTGGAACTGTGGGTGTTTTTTTCCCTTTACGATAAGTGTATTTATTTTTTAATCAGAAAAGCAGCTTTCATTTTGAAAAAGAAAATTGCAGGAAGTAGGACAAATAAACGTGGATAGGGTCTTTAAAAGAATATTATGGTGTTTTGTAGTTTTCAGTAAAAAATTTCTGTGAAGTTGAAATGCAGTATTAATAATGGAAATGTGACGCAGAAACATTTAAACTTACCATGCCATTCTATGAGGGGCTGAGGGTGCAGGAGTGAGCCACACAGACCCAGGCCTGGCACAAATGTTAGTCTGGTAGGAGAAGTAGTTATTAAACAGTAACTTCACATATAAATACACACAGATTGTGTTAAGTACTATGAAGGAAAAGTGCAGTGTTCTATGAGAAGGTCTAGGAAGGTATCTGATTTAATTCATTCAGGGAAAGCTTTTTAAGAAGGGACAAAATGTGAAGAATAAATTGGAGGTAGCTGTGTAAAGAGTAGTGGAGTGTTTCAGAGGGTTCAGCATGGCACAGGCCCTGGGGCGGGAAAGAACCGAGAACATTTGATAACCTAGAAGGCCAGAGGAACTGTGCTGTTCTTGGAGGAGGTGTGAGACAGTGGCCATCCTGTATGCCTTACTTGGACATATTAAGGATTTTGGATATCATAAGTGTAATAGGAAGTAATGGTGAGTTCTATGCAAGGGTCTGGAGTGATTCATGTTTTAAGAAGATAACTGTTCCCTGGCTGGGTTACTCAGTCCGTTAGAGCATTGTCCTGATACACCAAGGTTGCCGGTTCTATCCCCGGTCAGGGCACATACAGGAAGAAAGTAACTGATGAGTAAAAAATGGGTTCGAGGGGGGCAGGAATGGGAATAGGTGGCCACTTAGTGTTTTGCAGTATTCTAAGAAAAAGATACCCATGGCTTAGACTTGGGTGGCAATAAAGAAAGAGAAAGCCACACATGAAGGGTATGTCTTTAAGAAAAGCCAGCTGAACTTACTGACTCATGGGGAACAAAGAAGAAAGGGTCAGAGATGACTAGTGGGTTTTAGATTGGGTGGTGGTTGTGTCTTTCTGAAATAGGTGAAGCTAAATGAGAGCAGTTTGAGAGAAGGTTGGTAATACCACTGAACTGTAAAAACAGTTAAGATAGTAGATTTTATGTTATGCGTATTTTGCCACAATAAACAAATTGGGGAAAATATTTCTGTATTGGGTACTTCGAGTATTTAAATAGAGAAGTTATTTAGGGCAATTAGGTGTTGTGTTAAAGACAGTGGACTTGGGGCCAGGACACTGACTGTGATGTCTTAGGTAAGTTCCTCTTCCCTTCGTGGCCCGAGTTTCACCATCTGCTAAATGTTCCTGTGAATATTAAATGAGACGGTGGGACAGTACCAGCAGGGTGCCTGGCACTTGGCAGGTCTGTCAGTTTCAGCTGAATGTGCAACCCAGGCTTCTGAATGAGTAAGCCTGGCCTCCCAGTTCACTTTGTGCTGATTTATTCCCAAAATAACTAGAACCTAGTATTTATAGATTACCTCAAGTGCTAATGGAATGTTGGCTTTTATTACATTATTTTATTGTTATTTACATTGTTTTACTTCATTTTCATTGTAGTTACAAGGGTTAATAATTGCATCATCCCCTATTTTAAAGATGATGAAAATGAGAGAGAGGTTAGATGGTCTTGTCCAACATTATAGTTTGTTTATGGCAGGTTCTGGTCCTAAGTCCAGTTCTTTTTCCTTTATAATGCACCTGCTTATGAAGACAGATGATTTGTATCTACTTCTGTGCCTCTGGGCTTTTTTTGCCCTATTCTTCACATTTTCTATAAAGTAACATTTTACAACTTTAAAAATCAGTCCTAATGTTTGCTTCCAGACTAAAGCCAAGATTAAATGCTGCCAACATTAGACACTTTTAGATCCTGCTGATAATCTAGAGACTCTGGTTATAGTAAAACTCTTGGTAGAGGTTAACTTGGTCAGAGAGTTATAACTCAGCTATTCTAGCATATGATATCATTTCAAGCTCTTTTTCAGTTTTTAATTTTTTTAAAAAAGCAATATAGGAGTAGCATTAAAAGGAAAAAAATGCTCAAAGTCACTAATCAGAGAGATGCAAATTAAAATGAGAATGAGATATCACCTCACACCTGTCAGAATGACTACCATCAACAAATCAAATGACAAGTGCTGGCGAGGGTGTGGAGAAAAGGGAGCCCTAGTATATTGTTGGTGGGAATGCAGACTGCTGCAGCCACTATGGACAACAGTATGGAGGTTCCTCAAAAAATTAAAAATGGAACTGCCATTTGACCCAGTGATCCCACTTATAGGACTATATCCTAAGAAACCCAAAACACCAATTAGAAAGAACTTATGCACCCCTATATTCATAGCAGCACAATTTACAATAGTTAAGATCTGGAAACAGCCCAAGTGCCCATCAGTAGATGACTGGATAAAAAAGCTGTGGTACATTTGCACCATGGAATACTACACAGCTGTAAAAACAGAAGGATCTCTTACCCTTTGGGACAGTGTGGATGGACCTGGAAAGGATTATGCTAAGTGAAATAAGCCAGTCAGAGAAAGACAAGTACCACATGATCTCAGTCATATGTGGAATCTAATGAACAAAATAAACTGATGAACAAGATAGATACAGAGACATAGAACCATGGAGCAGTTGGATGAATTTCAGAGGGAAGGTAGGGAGTGGCAGGCGGGGAGTAATCAAGAACTTAGATGCATATATACATGACCTATGGACACAGACAATAGTGTGGAGAAGACCTGGCGGGGGGTGCTTGCTGGGTGGAGGGGAATCAATGTGGGGGAAAAGGGGGAACATCTGTAATACTTTCAACAATAATAATAATGGATCTTTCTATAACATCAATATTTATATTTCTAGGTGGTTTTGCAGAAGTGCAAAGTCAAGTCTCTCTTGCACAGCCCTGGAGACTATATCCTCTTAAGTGCAGACAAATATGAAATCAAGGTAAGGTTTTTTTCTTTATTATTTTGCCTCATCAAAGGAAAACTTGCAAATATAAGAACATTAAAATTAAAATGAAAATTTCAAGGTAGGCAGGAATGTCTTATTCCAAGACATCTTAAACACATTGGAAAGAGAATTATTCATTATCTATATGTTCTAGGCAGTTTCTAACCCTGATTTTTAAATGAAGAAAAGAAAATCCACAGAAAATAATCTTTAACACATCCTGTTTTCTTAAGACGTGTCTTCTATCCTCCTCAATTCTTAAGTCCAAACTATGAAAACATTGCAGAAAATTGAAAAAATTGCAAAAAGTTAACAGAGTACTCTTACATAAGTTTTTAGTGTAACTTTTAAATTGTTCCATGTGGTAGGCATTATCTTCATTGTGAGAACTGAGGTTCAGAGAGGTTAAGTATTTTATCCAAGATAGCACAGCACATACATGCAGAATCAGAGTTTGAACTCATGCCTCTCAACTGTAAAACCTGTGGTCTTTCCAGTTTACTTCACTTTATATCTGACTTCAGCAAATGAAACCACATTAAGGACAAGCTTTTCTATGGTGATGTGATCTGTCATCTTTCCTTTTTCTTTTATCTGTAGATTTGGCCAATTGGCAGAGAAATCAACTGCAAGTGTTTAAAGACATTGTCTGTCTCTGAGGATAGAAGTATCTGCCTGCAGCCAAGACTTCATTTTGATGGCAAATACATCGTCTGTAGTTCAGCACTGGGCCTCTACCAATGGGACTTTGCCAGTTATGATATTCTCAGGTAGTGTTTCCTTGGACCTTTACTTTTGACAGTTTGTTGCAGTTTATTTTTTGTTGCAGTTCAGAAGTTAAAATAAGACTAAATAGAGTAAACCAGTCAGTAACTTGCTTTTGGGAAATCTTTACATCAGTTATAAACGGTTATGTGCTGAAAACCTCACACATAAAAATGTTTTAGAGGAATAATTAGAAAGGGTTATATGCTAGAACCTAGATGATCTAAGATCTAACAATCCCTCCCTTTACTCTGAATCACTACCCCCTTCAGAAATTAATATGCTTTTCTGGAAAATGAGGGTCTTGGATGGAAAGATCTTTCACATCTCCTCTAATTCTACTATTTTAATTTCTACTTCCTAGTTAGTTGAAATTCTTTATTGAAGGATTGAGTGGCCTTCTGTTGACTAGTAGAAACACAGGTATTTAGAAAAAAATAGACTTGCAGGGTTTCTTTCTAGAGAAATAAATAATAAAAGATCCATGGACAAATAATTTTGATTCTCTGCGTACCACAGACCCCTCTTGGAGATTAGCAGTATCTGTTAGCACGTTGGAGGCTGATGGAAGCCAGTGCCATTTGGTGATTAGGAGAACTTATTTTGGTGATAGATAAACCTTGGTTTAAGACCTAGTGCCATCTCTTATGAGCTGTGTGATATTATGTAAGTTTCTTAACCTCTCTGCCTCAATTTTTCACCTGTAAAGATTAAATGAAATGACTGTAATGAGGACCTGTCAGGTATTTATTACTAATAGCTCTGAGAAGCCCTAAATAAAGAAATCTGTTTGAATTTGTTTAACTTATTGTACCTAACACTCATAGTGCATAAAGCTTTTTTTTTTTTTTTTGGAGGAACACTTATTAACAGCTCACAGAGTTAGTGTTCCATAGCATGGTTCAGGAAATGCTGGCTTGGGGAAATACAAAAAATTGAACATTCTCTTCACTTTTTTTATGCATGACTGTTTGAGGTCAGCTCGTATTGAATCTGACCGTATTAGCCAAGAGGACTTTAGTGGGACCTGCCTCTCTGCTCATAAAGTTATAACCCCATTTATGTCTCCCTGAAGTCAGACCTACATTTCTAATGAATTAGGTTTCCAAGCTTTCTATGCTTTGAGGGAAAAAAAGACCATCCTGGAAAATACTAGTCCAAGCTTGTCATCTTATTGATGTGGAAACTGAAGGTGAGAGAGCATAGGTGCCTTCTCCAACATCACATAGCTCACCCTATTCCAGCAGCCATCATCCATCCATCCACCGTCCATCCGTCCATCATCCTTCCTTCCTTCCTTCCTTCCTTCCTTCCTTCCTTCCTTCCATCCATCCATCCATCCATCCATCATCCATCCATTTATCCATGGCTGGATCATCCAGCAAGCATGTGTTTAAGAAACCAGCAAGCCAGAGAGAAGGAACTTTTGAAAGAACTTGATACTTTGCAAAGAAAAAAATCCAAGTAGTCACCATGGGGAAATCAGATCTTTTACAGTTTGGTATTATTTATGTTTTGAATTAAAATTCTGAGGGAATGGTGCAAAGGCAAGGTAAGATAGAGGTATCATATAGTCTTTTTAATGCTTAGAGTTTCTAAAGGTTTTAATTTGATCCTTTCTCATGTGTACTTCTTACTCAGAATATATAGTATAGAGAGTCCAGAGTCCTGGTGAAAGTTCTTTTAGGTTTGGTATTTGGATCCACAAGCCTACAAGATTGTTGCTGCTAGGAAGTCCTAGGTTCAGATTTTTATTTGAAAGGGGATTATTTTATCTCTTGCTCTTTATCCACAAACACAAGTAAATCAGCCTCTTTTGAAATCTTAGTCCAAATCCTGTGGCCTCTTTGCTAAGACCAGGTAGGGCTACTTACTCTTTTGAAGCTAATTGAAAAGAAGCAAAGCACAAATGGCAGCATATTGCTCAATTCATCTAAGATGCGGTCACTTGAGCTAGGTTATATCAGTATGGCAAGCAGGGTTATTTAGGTGCAGGGGCCTAGACTGCACCACAGCGATGTCCTTTTACAATCCTAAAGTCATCAAAAGGGGCTGCTGTGAGCCTGTCAAGACCTGTATTCTATCCTGCAACATACTTGTGATTCAGTCTTTGGAGTCAGTTCACCTTTACCAGGCTAAAGTCCTATCCCCTACCCACCCAGATTTCTAAGTTTCTGATGATTTCCTTCCTTGCATTGATGATGTAGGACTTACTAGACTTTCTTGCTGTTTTTCCCAGGTTCTTTCGGGTCTCTTTTGTAGGAATTTTTATTTGTCTCTGTTTGTTGCACCATTGCTCTGTTCATTAGCAGATATTTATCGAGTACTTACTTGTGTGTTAGACATTGTAATTTACCCTGGGAACCAGCAGAAATACTTACCAAACTGGTGGAAATTACTAGCCAGTAGAAGGGAAGACCGACATTAAATAGCTAACACATACAGATGTTTTAATGGTTGGGATAAGAGCAACATAGTATTGGGTATTTTGAGATCCCACCTAGTTTGAGGAGTAAGGGGAAGCTTCCTTGAGGAAGAGGTTTGGGCTGAGCTCTGAAGGATGAGCATTTGCATTAACTAAGTCCTAGGGACATTGCGGTGAGGAGCACTGTAGACTGAGAGACCAGTCTATTCAGAGGCCCTGAGACTGAAGGGGCCTCATGCATTTGAGGAACTGAAAGAAGGCCAGTGTGGGTTTATAAATTTAAATGAGATGGTAGTAGGATTAGATTTTAGTGTGAGGTTAGCTGATTGAAAGGGGCCAAGAATAAATATGGGAGACCAATTATAAATTTGTGGCAATAGGGCAGGCAAAAAATGATGTCTTAGCTCAGAGTTGTGACAATTTAGATAGTAGTGTATAAATTAAAGGAAAATTTAGGAGATGAAATCAGTAGATTTTGGTGCTTGAATTTATGGTTTGAGTAAGGAGGAGAGTTGTATGGTTGCCATGTTTCCTAGCTTGAGCAACTGGGTGAATGAGCAACCAAAGAAATAGAGAAGAGAAGCAGGTTTGGCTAGTAGTTCAGTTTTGGGCAGGTTGGGTGTGAGAAATGTCTTCATTACTAAATCCTTCCCTTCCTAATGTCAGACTGAAGCCTGCTTCTGGTAACTCTCCTGTGGACCCTAGTTCTCTCTTTAGAGCTTCTAATGTCTGACCTCTCTCACATCCTTCACTATTTAAATGTGATGACCGTATATACTTTCCCTGTTCCTGCCAGTTCTTTCTCCCCCTCAGCTGATCTCCTTCAGCTGTTTCTAACTTTTCCTGGTTACCACACCCTGCCATCTGCTTGACCTCTTGGACATAACGCTAGTTGATAGTGTCCTTGTTAAAACATAGGCTAACCTGGCTTCTCATGGGACCACACTTATTGTCACAGAGCAGACTTTCTAGATCACTCATCTTGTAGTTCTTTTCCTAGGGCCTCCAAAGAGGACATCAACTTTTCTTGTCCTTCTTTTACCTCGTTAAGTGTGCAGACAACAGAGACTTAAGTTTTTTGTCATTTGTGCAGCTGTTTACCTAGATCTCTCACATTTCGTATCTTTGTCATTGATGTTTTGGGAGGTGTAAACCTGAGAAGGATAAGGTTGTCCTTCTGTCTCCCCCAGTTTTCTCTAGCAAATTCTTATGAATCTATTATTAATAAATGTTTCTGGATTATTTGGGAAATTTTTAATATTTCTAGTTTCTACTGTTTTGGAGAGGAACCTATGTGTTTGCTACCTGCTGAGAGTAGCCCCTAGGATTTGATGAATAAATCTTTCACCTAGTAGTAAGAGTTGAGTTTTACATTCTAGTTCTGATAATTGACTAGTTGTGAATCTTTCAACAAAGTATTTACCTTGGCTGGACTTTAGTCTACATCTTGAAAATGAGAATGTTAAATGAGATAACCTGTAAGATCCCTTCCAGCTTGGATGGGCGTTTTGTGCTTTTGTAACTGTTCATCAAATACCACTTTTCTCCTTACATACCTGTGTTATCAGATTCTTATGAACTCTTCCCTCTCCCACCCCGTTTTACAGTAGGCTGAACTTTTTGTCCTTATATTTTCCTTTTTATAGAAAACATTCATTTGACTTCCTAAATTTGCTTGAATATTTTATTGCTTTTAAATGTCTCCAGAAAAGATTACAGCAGCGTAAACAAAAGCAGAGTTGCCTCCTGGTTCACGTTACTTATTCTCATCCTTGTAGAGTCATCAAGACTCCCGAGATAGCAAACTTGGCCTTGCTTGGTTTTGGAGATGTCTTTGCCCTGCTGTTTGACAACCGCTACCTATATATCATGGACTTGCGGACAGAGAACCTGATTAGCCGCTGGCCCCTGCCAGAGTACAGGAAATCAAAGAGAGGCTCAAGCTTCCTGGCAGGCGAAGCTTCCTGGCTCAATGGACTGGATGGGCACAATGACACGGGGTTGGTCTTTGCCACCAGCATGCCTGACCACAGTATTCACCTGGTGTTGTGGAAGGAACACGGCTGACGCCATGAGCTACCACCGCTGACTGACTTTGGGTGCCGGGGCTGCGGGTTTTGAGTGCAACCTCTATGGCAGCCGACTGCATGAACCAAAGTTCTCACTTTATGGTATCATCACGCAGTGCACAATCATTTATCTATGTTTGCCAGGGGGCCAGGGCTCTGGGTGGGGGAGGGCTCATTTTACTGACATACAAATGCAGCATGCTAACGGGGTACACCATTGACTTCATTTGTACTTAGTTATGTTGGTCAGTATAAGAGGATGCATTTTGGGTTCATCTTTCTTGAATATTGGTTTTAAGTAAAGAAATTTAAATGGTTCATTAATCTGCTAATTGGTTGCCTATAAAAACACATTCAGTCTCTTATTAAAGGTTTTTACCATTGCCCTTTTTTCTTTTGAAGTTGAAGCAAAGGTGCTATGATGTTTTACAGCAACTTTCTCACATGGGGCTTAGCTTTTATAACAACCAGTGTTACAAAGACCACCAAGTCCTGTGACATTCAAAATCTCTCCACCAAATACCAGTTCTAAAGAAAATCTGTCTTCCAGTACAAATCCAGTTCTATAAATTGATTGTAATGCATCCTAAGCCCTAGTTCTTGGCAGAGTCAAAGTTGGCCATGACTGAGATGTGAAGGAGTTCTGTTGCCTTTGTTTTCATCTGGAGCAAGACTGGTCCTCAGTCCCCCTCTGCCTAGGTGACTGCACAGAGGTGATGTGGTGTAGTGGAAAATTGAAGACTGGCTCTGTTACCTAGGAACCCTGGACCCCCAAGCATATCACTGCCCTGGGCCCAGTTTTCACTGTCTGAATAGCTAGTTGTTAAGCTAAGTGATTTGTAAGATTCTTTCTGGTCCTGCATCTACTGAGTTGTGCAAAAGTTGATATTTTCGTTTTGTCTGATTCCCGATTCATTGTTTCTTTGAAGTTGGAGATAATATATAAATGAAATCACTGATACAACGTTGTCATCTCTAAGGAAATCAAATGTGTGAAAAGGATGACTAAAAGGAGAATGTAGAAAATACAATGTATTCCACTTAGAAGATGTAAATAATTGGTGGCAGAAATGCTGATAGTTGTGGTTCTGTAGAGAGGCAATGTTCTATATTAGAAAGATACCTGACCCTGACTTTTCTTCTTCCTTTGCCTCTAACTTGATGTGTGGCCTCAGGCAGGTTAACTTTCTGTCCCTGGGCCCTCATTTTTTTAAATCTTTACAATGAAGGAATTGCCTTAGATTAGGGTTCACAAACACCTGCCCAGGGGAGTTATGTAGATAACATAAATGAGTGAAGCATGCTGGGTAGCACTGTGCTGAACCGCGGAAAGCTTATCGAACGGGGCAGTTACTCAGCTCAGGTGTTAGGCAGAAACGAGCCCAGTGTTGGCAGGTCTTCTAATTTTTCAGGCGGAAGTAGAAATCTAGAATTTTATTGGAAATTTCCTGATTTTAAAAACGTTGACAACTAATTGAAGATAATTTAAAAGGCAGTGGGCTAAACAAACCGTGTCTCCGGGCTGCCAGTTGGTGTCCTCCACCCTCTCATTCTTGTGAAGTTAAATAGTGTGATTCAGCAGTGGAAATGTTTTAACATAATTGTCTGGCCATTTGACTGTCGCATTGTGTTACAGGGGAGTGAGGGAGGCATATTTCATTCACAGACAGGAAAGTAGTTTAAAGATGAGCATAAGAACTGGGACCTCCTTGAGAGCCTCGGCCCCAGGAATAAGAATACTCATTCTCCGCTGACTGTAATATAAGACATATCCATGTCAAGTGGGGAAAGGGGTTCCCAGTGGGCTGGGAATGACGCAGACTCCAGGGGGACACAGCTTGCCCAGAACCCGCGTTAGCAAGAGCCTGACAATGGACGGCCGACACAGTGAAGTTTAGAGAATTGATGGTTGGTTTCAAGGACAGGTTGATGTCCATGTTGACACTCTGAAGGGATTAGGTAAAAGTAGTAACTTCCTCCATCACCCAGTCCATCTCTTACTGAATTCTGAGTGTGAGCTCGGTTTGGCCCTCCAAGACATGGAACCTGAATTGCAGCTAGAATCTGTTTTGCAAGAGCCTCAGGAGACTGGGCAATGATGAGGGTAAATGACTTATTCCATCTATTGCTGGCTAAACAAATAACAGATTACTGATTTCATGACCATCCCTATTCCCACCTCACTTTGAGATATATTCAGTAGCTTCAAAGAGCAAGTGATTCATCATAATAGCTATTTGTGGCAAAAGATTTCTTTTTGGAAATGACAAACCTGAAACTTGTATGTTGTGTCCCCCTTCCGTGGTCAGTGTGAATATTGAAGTTATCAGGGTGGTGTTTAGTGCGGCCGATGTTGACAGCAGTCCTTGAGGCAGGGATTGAAGTCCTAACTTCGAGTGCTCCTCACAGCGGCCTTCAGTGCACCAGAGCATTTTATTTAATTGCTTTATAGATGCTATATTTAGTCATACTACTGCCAGCTTTTGTGAAACATCCTTTAAAAAGATAAAGTGGAGAGTCAGCGAAAGAAGTGGCCAAGGGGTAAAGAGCTGTAGTTGCTTAGGCCTCCTTTCACTGAGTTGGGGGCTGCCTCTCATATGCACTCACGTCTGCTTCCTGGGCTCTGAGCGGTGGGAATTGCCTTTGCCCCTTCTTCTGTGAATATTCTCATTTTTGAAAAATTCCAAAGTCATGAGCAGATGGACTCTATCCACCTCTATGCACATTGGATATCTTGAATGACACTGATTCTGGTCAAGTGAAGGGCTTCTCTTGGGTTCATACAGGTACCGTAACAACCCAGGATCCAGGGTGTAGGCGTCCAGGACAGCTGAGTGAGTGGGAGGGTTTTAGCAGACTTTGTTCCCATTGCAAAAGAAGGTAGTTTCCTTGGGTCCTATTGTTTGAAGGAGTCATTGTTATCCAAACTGGTCCTAACCTGACTTTCAGACCCAGCAGAGAAATAGAAGACTTCCTCTAGGGAGGGGCTCAACGTTGAAGAAGCTCTGAAGGAAGGTTCACATATTTGGATAGCTTCTCATGAGTGGAAGGCGGGGGATATTGCTGTGAAACGTTAAGGTTTGCACCTCATTTTTCATAGTCTAAAAATTGTTCTGGCCATTGGAAACGCTTAGTGTAAAGTGTGAATGAGGATTATGTAATTATGCTAGTATTTGCTCTCAGGAGAATGATTACTGTCTGTATTTATAAAATATCTTAGGGAGAAAAGAAATATATTTGGAAGCAGTGTTATTTTAGACGTGAAGAAATTGTTTCTGTTAGATTAGACATTTTGCCCAAACAAAAGTAGCTGAGGATAGTGGAGTCCGGCTTTACTTGCTTTGGCCAAACCTAGCCAGCTAGCTCCTTCAAGTTATGATTGTGTGTCCTGGCTTCCTGGGAGTCCGGAGGTGTGTCTTCCCTCCATCACTTTTAGCTTTCTGTGCCTCCTTCTCTGGGCTTCTTGCAGACCTAGGTGTCTGATTCACTTGCCTTTCTCTGTGGGGAAGTGTGCAGAATCTCATTGCTGCTCCAGAATGCATCTCTGGGCAGGGCATACTCACCTTTGCCTTTAGGGACACGGAGCTGTCAGGATAGGGGAGAAGCCCTTTTAGGTCTGTCCCCTTGACACAACCTTTGTATCTGATTTTGCTGGTGTTTGCCAGGATATTTAAGACAACCAAGACACTGTTGAGAACTCATTCCCCAGATGGAGTGTCTGATGAAAGGAACGCGTTAGCATTCCTGACAGAAATACCCACTTTGGCAGGGTCTCTGGCCAGACTAACCTCTGTTCCCATGCCTACTCCAGGAAAGTGAGTTTTTTTCAGGATAAGTCCTCAAATGGATGACTGGATAGTCTTGTGCCACTCCCATCAGCCTAATCAGACTGAAGGATCATGCTCCCTGCAAAAAGGTGTTTTGCTGTCAGGTTGTTGCAATGTGTTTCCAGTCTTCTGTAGGTGGTTTCCTTGCTTAAAGTTATTGCTACAGTCCTGACCAGTGTAAACCCACTTAATTATTAGTAGCTGAAAGAATCAGCTACTTCTGCTCTTTGGGAATGTGCTCAAATAAAAATGTTTTTGCATATTTTAACCAGGCAAATCATTAATTCAGTTGCTACAAACTCAACAGTTTTTTGGAGTCCCTGTACTCACACTGTGAACAGATATATTTCACTAATCTAGATGTAGTACTCTTGATGAGAAGGCTCAGGTTTAAAAAGGCTGGCCTTGCTAATCCAACATCTATAGCCACTTGGTCGAATTCATCAACTCATGTTTCACTAATTTGATGTGTGTTGTGATCTAGGGGGAATGAGGTGACATTTATATTTGAACTGTCTGTGGGTTGGGAGAGTAGGGATTGCTTAAACAACTAGGGGAGTGATTGTGGTACAAGGTGTCTCTATAAGATGAGACGTTATTTTCATGAATCTTAGAACTTTCTTTTACCCATGAGTGATCGTGCTAACTATAAATCATTTATATCTATACATTAAAACAGGTTCCTCAATTAGGCAACATTCAGTAGCCAAGCCCAAGTTATTGTTTGTACTTGAAAGTAATAAAACTGCATTTCCTTGAAAATATGTTCTGTAGTTAAGACTATTTTCTTGCTTCCCTCCTCCCCCCAACCAATTCAGAGGGGACTTTTGAAAAGTGAGTGTGTTTTTAGAGATGGAAGTGCCCCTCAGGTGATTGGAAGTGGCTCCGTCCCTTTACTGTTTCTGCGTGTACTAGAATGAAAGCCCAACAATGTAACGGTTTTTGAATGAGATCCAAGAGGGGAAACAATACATTTAAAAGTAAAATGCAAGGAAGAATTTTGGCAACTCTCAAGTGTTGATTCAAATGGGGGGGAGTACCATGGAATCTTCTTCCTCTCTTTTGCCCTCCCCTGCTTGGCACATGCCTGAGTTGGTTCTTCTTAATTTAAATTTGTAGGACTCCTTGTCATCAGACATGGTCCTGTTATCATTATTCTTTTCTGATAAGAAAGCTGAGGCTTGGGAAAGTGGCTAATTGCTGAGAGGAGTAGTGAGTGGTGAGGTTGAGGCTGGGGCTGTGAGTTTTAGCCTTCACAGACCTGGGTTTTTCCCACCTTGTTTCTCTGCCCATCTTTCTTGTCATTTCAAGTCTTTAGTCCAAACCTGGACAGCTGCCTTCCTCATTCACCACTTGCGAGCACCTGTTCAACCATCTTATACTCTACCTCCTGGGCGTCTCCCCAGCCACTCCTATGAGCGCATGGTTCCTCTTCTAACAGCCTTACTGACTCCCTGTTACCAATAGGGGGTGTCCAGGTTTATTAACTTTATATAATCGAGCCCCAGCTCATCTCTTCAGACATTTCTTACTCTTTCTTTCCTGCCTTTGCACTCATCCTCCTGGGAAAGCCCTCCAAGTGCCTTTCCACCTGCCCTGAGGCCAGCCTTTAGGACCCCGTTGACCTCCCACTACCTTTTAAGCCTCTGCTGACTACCATGGCACACTGACTCAACTTTTTCATCTAGGGTAGTTGTGCAATTTATTTGGCAATTCATGCGTAGAACCTTTTGAAGTTGGCAAACCATTAACTTTCACCCTTGATCCATATATTTTTCAGTTTGGGTGAATATCTTGTCTCCCCAGCAACACTGTAAGATTGAGTTCTGACATGATGCTCAATACGTTTTTGATGATATATTTGAATAAATTTCATGGATTATCCTAGGGGCTATGTGTTATGAAGGAAAAATAACAATATCAGCGTTGAAGCAAAATGAAAAGACCAATTACACACACCTCTTCCTCTCTTAGGCTCCCCTGTTCTGCCCTTTCCTCTAAACATCTACATTGTTCTAAGTACATTGGGCAGAATGTTTGATGATCACTCTGTGATTAGACAGGAGTAGTCCTTGCCAGTGGAACCTCCCTGTGCTTTATTTGCATTTTAATCACATGTTCTGTTCTCTTTGTGGTTAAAATAATGATCACATCAATTTACGGAGAAAATGACCCAGAGTTCCTTTATCATGATGATTTTTAATATTCACTTCTAATCCTTATGCATGTGTGCATAGATTTATGTGATTGCAAGTCCTTGTTCTGTATCGTGCTGTCAGAAATGTGCTTCAAGTCTTTGCAATTACCATAGTACTTTGTAATACTCCTGTATTACCTGTAATTTGCTACACCATTCCTAATTTAGTGGGTAATTAGATAGTTTCCAGTTTTGCTTTTTAGATAATGCTACAGAGAAGTTCTTTGTCAGATTTCCTTAGGACATGTTCCCAGTAAATGACTTACTGGTAAAAGCAAAGGAAATTTTTTTCTTAACGTATTTTTGTTACAGATATGGAAGAGCACATAAAACACACACATACACAGTTTACTGAATAGTTAAAAAATTAACACCCACTGCCCAACTTAAGAAAGAACATTCTGGCTCCCCAGAAACCTCCTCTGTGTCCAGGAAGAAACACGTCATTGCTTTTGCTTCATATTTATCATGTGGCTTTTCAAATGGATTAAAGGGATTTATGTCGTCACCTTGCTGGTTGGCGTGTGCATGTTTCAACACAACATTATCAATTTTATGTGGTTATTGTAAACATGTTTGCCAATTTCATAGGTATAAAGAAGGTATCTCAAGGTTGCTTTAATTTACATGTCTTTAATATGCGAAGACATATTTGTATATGTGCTCATTTATATTTCTTTTGAATTCTGTCTTCATCTTTTACCCATTTTTATTACATTTTCAAATAATATGGGAAACATTCAGATGAGAGTCACAAATACAATTCACTACTCTAGGCATCACTAATTTAGAAATAATTCAACACAAGGCATGCCTTGAATTTTCTTTCATTACATAAAAAGGATTGGTGTCAAGCAAACCTATCAACAATCCCTATTTATGTCCCAGTAATTAATGTGATATGTTGCAAATTATGCATTGCCTGTTAAAGTAGTCCTAAGTAAGACCCAGCACTTCAGAAGAGAGCCAGTCAACAGCACTGGGCATATATAGAACTGTATCTTTAATTTAAACTTTTCCTAATGAAGATGTACCACAGGTGATCAATAATATTTAAAGTAAAATTTGGGCGATCATGAATTAAAAGGATTTTCCCCCAAAATTAACTGTTGAAATTTAAAATGAGGGATTCATCTAGAAGGCAACCAAATGATACTTCAAGGACATAGTCATCCTAGTGTTTTATTTTTACTCATTAATGCAGAGTCAGGGAGGGGGGTGTCAAGTGTGTTTATATGTCAGGCCTCTGTGAGTTCAGAGAGATTTTCCATCTGTGAGAGTTTCACAGGAGAGCAAACTTTCCTGAGTTTGATAGTTCAGCAGATTTAGCATGTAAGGCCACTCTGGAGCGAGTTGATCATTCGGGCATTAAGGGCACAAAGCTGGAACTCTAAATGAGAGGGAATCCGAAAAACAAAAACAGGTAGAAAGGCTGTGTGCCAGTCTAAGCTGACACAAGTAAGCGTTAGAAGAAACAGCTAAGCGTTATTTTCTTCATTTCTCTTTTTCTCCCCCACAAGACTATGTTTTGAGAACAGGAATTGTATCTTTTTCTCTATACACATATCATCTAGAACTGGCACAAAGTAAACACAGAAGGAGGGGCCGGATGGATGTGTGGGTGAATGGGCCATGAATTAGTCTACATTGATTCCTATAATCCAGTGTTCTCCAAGTGTGATTTCCTTCCAGCACATTGGCATCACCTGGGAACTTGGTAAGAATGCAGAATGTTGGGCCCCACTCCAGACCTAAGGAATTAGAAACTCAGGCTGGAGTCTGGCAGGTGCTTGTGATGCCCACTAAAGGTGAGGACCACTGCAGTTATCTAACCCGTCCTGCCACCTAGTGGAACGTTGGGGAATAGCATCTGGCCGTGAGTTGGGCTGAATTCTGTTGCTGTTCGCTACATAAGGCCTTTTCTTACAGCCACTCTGGATGTGTTCGAAAACTGGAGTTGCCCTCTACTTTATTCTCAGTTGCTATAGGGCATGTCGTGGCAAGACATCAGCAGTCAGTCTGCATAAACTCATCCTTATTTTAGAAATGTCTTTAATTTTGTACTAAAATTGCTCTTCTTATACAATGGAATATTATGTAGCTATTAAATATTGCTATAAAGACCAATACATGAGCAAATGCAGAAGCAAGTGGAAGACAGGTTTAAAAATGGCACACAGCATGTTTCAAATTAAGTGGTTTAAATATGCCCAGGAACAAAATGAAATACACCAAAAGGGTAATAGTGGTTCTCTCTTTGGGGATGAGATTATAGATACATATTTTCTCTATATTTTTTGTATTTTCTAAGTTTCTACAATGAGCATAAGTTATTTTTAAGAATATATACATATATTTTAAGTTATGTAACACAGCAACAGACATCATTTAGCTGAAATTCCTTCTTTCAGGAAATATTAGGTCCCTCCTCTGTACCAGGCATTGTCCTAGGGCCTGAGCTATAGAGATGAATTGTGTATGGTTCTTGCTTCTGGGAGCTCACGGTTCCCAGGGGTAGTACACACACAAAAACCCAAGAAGGAAGCACAGGGAAAGGAGAAATTCTCCTTATGAGTGACAACTAAGGTTTTCCAGAGAAAGGAGCACTCCATAAAGTTCCCAAGCTAAGAGGATTGTGTTACTACTTGTGGGGGTCTTTATAGTCAACATAGGAACATATGAGACACAACCAGAATTTGAAGACAAATCATTAAACAACAAAATGCAACACAAAAGTAGTAGGTTGTTGGTGGTAGCAGCGTAGTTTTTCAATCTCTGAAGTCCCACCTACAACATCAACTAAACAGCAGAACCAAAATACCAGACAGTACTGATTACAAAAGCAGGTGACAAGGTGACCCAGTGCACCCCAAAATAAAGCAAATGGAACAAACAAAAAACTTCCACAGGAACAGCATTCGTGTAAGAAGGAAAGGACAAAGAAGAACACCACAGGCAGCAGGTGATGAACCTGAGAACAGAGAGCCCAGGAGAGGCAAGGTGATTACCAAGAGTTGGGCAGCCAACTTGAAAATGGCAACTGAAGCTGTGAGGGTTTCTGTCTTCTCCAACAGTGGGTGAGTGCAAGGGCCTATGGTGAGAACACGTGAAAGGGCTGGAGCGGGGCAGCCCTTACACGCTCATGAGACTGACCTGCTGTCTTCCAGGACAGGGACCCACGCTAGGGAGGACTCCTGGGACTGAAATAAAAATTGAACAGGATACAGATGAGAGAGAAAGAGGAAGGGAGGGAGGGAGAGAGAAAAAGAGACTGTATTACTACTCATGGGGGTCTTTATAGTCAATATAGGAACATGTAAGACACTACCAGAGTTTGAAGACAAGGAAAGAAAGAGATGGACCAGATCCACAAAGGATAAGAACAGAGGCAGGAAGCCCCAGAAAGCAAGCTGCCTTATTTGTAAATGCCACACAAAAACAGCAGAAGGGGGAGCTCTGTAAAGGTTGAAAATCCTTCCTGAATGTAGCCTCATTCCAAAAAGTCAGGAAAAATAATTTCACATTAAACAATAGAAGAGTATCAAGGCCAAATTCCATACAAAGTTA